TTGCAAAATAATTAGCATGTGAGATTAGGGTGCATGGCACATTTTCAGTCAATACAGAAATGGTGAGCGGATGACATCCTTTTTGCCACAATGCTTTCCTCCCTGATTCACCTTCTTCCAAGCATCAAAAATCAGATAAAATAATCTAAGTGTGATGAGAACCACTCTAGAAAGCAGCAGAAATCAATTTAAATCATAAATGGGAAAAGAGATTTTTTTTAATAAACTAGGTAAATCAAAAAGAAACAGAAAACAGGATCATACACAGCGTAAATCAACATGACAAAACCTTCGAAACAAGTGAGAGCCTCTACCCTCCAACTACCATAGACTTTGTCCACATATTCCTCTCCTTATCTTTTGCTCAGTCTCTTGAATTTGTTGTTTCTTTTTACACCTTTAGTTCCATTCTGACTCACTCACAACTCTTCTTCCACCACCTACAGCCAGTGACCCTCATCCTAGTTCAAGACGTCTTTAATAATTCATTATTTTCAGAGATGTCAGTACTGTTTTGGCTCATTACTGCACATAAAGGTAATCAGATTAAGACAGATGCTGGTGCAGTCTTTTTCATGCAACATTCCAAAATAAAATTACACAAGTTAATCAAAATTCTATCAAAGTTAAACATTTTATACACTTTTTTAATCTTCGCTGGTACTCTAGTATTACACAAAGACAATCTATTAGCTACAATGTCAGTCTATGGAAAAGCACAGCATCAGATTTTCCAAACACAGTTATTTTAAGTGTTATATGCACAGCACATACATACAGCCTTTCTAGAATTAAAATATAAAATATTGTAACTTTACTGGTACACATTTTGTGAGCTCTAAATCACTAATTGTCCGAATTTAAATTGAAAGCCATGTAAGCAAACTGCTTGGTTCAATTTTGCTGAATAGACCAAAAGGAGGCAGGACACGCAAAAGCTGGCTCCTAACTGGCACAGCTCGATGTTGTTGTCTATTTCCACCTACAGCTGCTTTGCAGGGAGTGGGATAGGGCAGGCAAGGAATGTGCATGCTCTTATCAAAGGCACAAAGTTGGGGTTCAGAATTTTCAAGGTGGGCTTCAGAAGTCCTCTGTGAGCTTACTGCCCTCCCTAACACACATATATTCAGAAGGAGCAGTGTGCACTGCAGAAGTTCACTTCGGCTCCTTAGAGAGAACCTTCCAAACCCACAACCACTTTCATCTAGGGGACAAGGGCAGCAGATATATGGGAACATCACCACCTACAAGCTCTCCTCAAGACACTCACCATTCTGACTTGGAAATATATTTCTGTTCCTTCAGTGTCACCAGGTCAAAATTCATGGAACTCCCTCCCCAAAGGCATTGTGGGTTGACCTGCACCAAACGGACTGCAGTGGTTCAAGAAGGCAGCTCACAATAAGGATTGGCAATAAATGCTGGCCCAGGAGTGACACCACATCCTACGAATTAATAAAAATAAACTTCTCTTTCTCTCTCCATAATACTCACATACAAGTATATTTTCTCCCTCTCTCATCCTTGAAATACATAGACACTATCCCTCTCTCATATATACACGTACTCATGGGGAAGAGGATGGAAAGTATGTGTGAGAGACACAGAGTGTGTGAGACGGATAGAGAAAGTGTGTGACAGGAAGGAAGGGAGGGACGGAGTGAGAGATGGAGAGAATGAGAGAGAGGGAGGGTGGACGAGGTTAACTCACACTCTTTTCTTTGACCTTTGACTACTTTAAGGCTGCTGAACAGCTCATCTGCTGTTATAGATCTAATCTTCTCAACTGAATCTGCTTCTAGCCTCTGGCCTCTCATTCTGTAAGTCATAAAAGCTCAACTCAGGAAATGCTTTACTGATTATCTCATCTGGTACCTTGTGTTAAACTTCATTTAACTGAAGTCGCATGATTTCTTGGAAATGCTGTTTTGACTTACGGCTAAAAAAAGTTTCTGACCCTTAAAATAAAAATCACAGAACTGAAAACCAAAAACCTATTTACCTCTGTTTTATAATTCAAGTTCACAGACAAAAATATACTATAGACTTTCATCACAGCATCCAAAGGACTACAGCAGTTCATGAAGGCAGACCACCAGCCACCTCTTAACAGCAAATAGGGATGTAGAATAAATAATTTCCTTGCCCACTAACTATTAAAAAAAAAAAATGCTTTTCCAATTTCAGTACTAGGGGAACTCAGTGATTCCAGCCCAACAAAAAAAAGCAGCTTTACCTTCTTTCTCTGTTAAATGGGAAATGGGTCTGGGTGGGATGCTCTTCGGAGGGGCGGTGTGGACTTGTTGGGCCGAATGGCCTGTTTCCACACTGTAAGGATTCTATGATTCTAAAGAGAAGTAGCTAAAATCTCTAAACCACCATTGCCTTTTCCCTTGAAGAAAGGTTGGCCTTGTTGGTAGTTGTGTCATGTGAAAAATTGATAAATTCAAGCCCCACATCTGTATTTGAGTCCATTAGGGGGTACTCAAGGAGTGTTTCATTTTCAGAGGCATTGTGCTAGGCACTGTCTTCTTGTTCAGCATTAAACAGCAATTGAAATGGCTTGTCATTCTGGCAGGGTGAAATCAAATGATCTAAAGAGCCTTTATTTAAGACTATCTTGTAAAAGCCTGTCTTGTGATGGGACAGGTGGAGGAGAGATTGTGAAAGGAGGGTATAAACACAAAGTCCATCATGTGATCAAATAATTCTTTGACAAATATACTTTGAAAACCAACTTTCATTACTGAAATTTTATCTATCATTTTCATGTTTATCATTTTCTTTTCCAAACATTTCCCCGGTAGAACCAAGCCTACCAATTATCACAATGCAAACATTTTTATTAATGTAAAAAATGAATTAAGTTTTTAAAACCATACTGGACAAGTATTTCACTTGAGAGATTAATGAAGTTTGCTTGTTTTTTTAGAATGCTTAATGATCTATTAGATTTGCTACCGTACATTAATACTACAAAAATAATTCTATTCGATTCCACAAAGGAAATTAGATATAGAACTATAAAAAAATGAAAACACAATATTTATACAATGCACAAAATAAATAGTAACACTTTCAGGGCAGCTGACTGATATGAATTAAACTAACAGAATCAAAAGATCAATTATTATGATAAATCACTAAGGAATTTTACACATCCCAAGGTAATACCAGAGAGAATGAATTCTCTTGATTGAAATTATTATTTCATACATAGAACGATATTAAGTTTACACCGTACTCCATGATAGGCAATCGTACCCCTTGATTATCAATCAGAACTAGAAACTGCCAGTGGTATCGTGTAACTGACAAAACTCCAAATGAATTTCAAAAACAAAGTTGGTCTACACTGAGGGAATGAAGTTACAGGAGGTTATATAATAATTTATCAGAGATAGAGTCATTGAGCTACACAGAAAAAAACTCTTCAGTCCAACTTGTCCATGCCAACCAGATATCTTAAATTAATCTAGTCTCATTTGCCAGCATTCGGCTTCTTTCCCGCTAAACTCTTCCTACTCATGTACCCATTCGGATACCTTTTCAAATGTTGTAAAGGTACTCGCCTCCACCACTTCCTCTGGCAGCTCATTCCATTCACGCATCACACTCTGCAGAAAAAAATTGTCCCTCAGGTCCCTCTTAAATCTTTTCCCTCTCACCTTAAACCTCTGCCCTCTAGTTTTGGACTCCCCTACTTTGGGAAAACAACTTTGGCTATTCACCCTATCCATGCCACTCATGATTTTATAAACCTCTATAAAGGTCACCCCTCAGCCTCCGATGCTCCAGGGAAAACAGCCACAGACTATTCAGCCTCTCCCTAAAGTTCAACCCCTCCAGTCCCAGCAACATCCTTGTACATCTTTTCTGAATTCTTTCACAGTTAACAACATCTTTACTATAGCAGGGAGACCAGAAATGAACGTAGTGCTCCAAAAGTGGCCTCACCAATGTCCTGTACAGCCGCAACATGACCTCCCAACTCCCAGACTGAATGCACTGACTAATAACGGCAAGCGTACCAAATGCCTTCTTACTACCCTGAGTACCTGCAACTCCACTTTCAAGGAACTATGCACCTGCATGCCAAGATCTCTTTGTTCAGCAACACTCCCCAGGGCCCTACTATTAACTGTATAAGTCCTGCCCTGATGTGCCTTACCAAAATGCAACACCTCACATTTATCTAAATTAAACTCCTTCTGCTACTCCTCGGCCCATCTGATCAAGGTCCCTTTGTACCCTGGGATAACGCTCTTCACTATCCACTACACTACCAATTTTGGTGTCATCTGCAAACTAACTAACCATACCTCCTATATTCACATCCACATCATATATATAAATGACAAAAAGCAGTGGACCCTGCACCGATCCCTGTGGCATACTGCCAGTCAGAGGCCCCCAGTCTGAAAAAAACCCTCCACCACCACCCTCCGCCTCCTACCTTGTATCCAAATGGCTATTTCTCCCTGTATTCCACGTGATCTAACCTTGCTAACCAGTCTGCCATGCAGAACCTCGAACACCTTGATGAAGTCCATGTAGACAACGTCCACCGCTCTGCCTTCATCAATCTTCTTTATCACTTCTTCAAAAAACCCAATCAAGTTAGTGGGACACAATTTCCCACGCACAAAGCCAGAGCTGAAAAGCTCCTCTCCTCCAACTGACTTGCTGACCTTCAATCCCGAACACTTACTACTGTACATATTTTACTTAAATGTTCAACAGATATTGAAAAGTCTAAATGCAACATTACCGGATTTGTTGGACCACTGTTATTCTGTAAAAATAGTGCAAGGTATTCAATTTGCTCAATAAAGTATACCGGCTCTTACTCAAGACATAAACACAATAAGTAATTATTCAAACTGGTCAAACACACTTCATTACACATTATCATCAAAATCACTTTGTATTAAATCACCAGTTGACTGCATCACAAATCTCAGGTTCAAGAAAGCATGCAGATTGAAAGAAAAATTTACCTAGTGAGTTATTAATAGAAACAGTAGAATCCACAAGCCCAGCTGCAGGACTAACACAGATGGTATGTGAGGCTGGGACTGATCCATTCACAGAAGACTGCAGAGCCAGAGGACCTGCGCTGGTAACCGTTGTTGACTGTACTGTAGCTCCCAGGGTAGATCCAGATAGGTTTACTGCAGTCTGAATTTTAACTTGCGCCATTCTCTGTCACTGCAAAGGAAATAAAAGATAAAGAACTGAAAGGGTTGAATATGATAACAGCATAAACAATTTCTAATTAACGTGAAACAAAGTACCACAGGTTCTGAAATAACAAAATGCATTCTGATGAAAGATCATCATCTTGAAAATTTAACTGTTTCTCTCTCCACAGATGCTGCCTGATCATCTGAGTATTTTTGGAATTTTCTATTTTTATTTCTAATTAATATGTCCTGGTTATGGGAAACGAAAATGGTGCATGTACTATTCTGGAAAGCAAAAAAAGTCTGCAACAATTACTGGCTCTAATGCTTCATTCATGTTTTGCAGTAAAATCGGTTGGAGAGAGGGGTAGGGAATCTAGCATAGTTGGACTTCACCTCTCATGTTCATGCCTTTCAAATTTGAGTGGTGAGTTGCTGAAGGAGGAGACTGATAACAGACTACGAAGGGAAAGTGGGCATCTGTGACCTGAGAGAAAGGGTAAATCATTATATATCTTGTTGACTAATCAGATTGAATAATTGTGAAATTAACAGCCTAAGAGAGAAGGAGGTACATATTAGAATGGGTGAATTTATTGTCAAATCAGGTACAGGAGGAGAAAAAAAACGGAATGCTGGATTAAGATTGAAAGAAAAAGAGAGACCTGCCAGAAAAGAAATGAAAAACAAATGAAATTTCACATTTTACAATCTCCAGTTAAAAACTGAAAGAACGAGAATCAATACTTAACAGGCAATTTTCAGTTAAGTAGTTGACTGGCAATAATTCATGCTTATCATGTAATTAAGAGAATTTAACTTTGAAATTAGTTGACTTGATGATGCATTTTGTGGTTATCAGAAGTCTGAAATAACGTCACTTTTAAACACAAGTACTGGAGCTTTAATCCAGTGCATTTTCCAGATCCTTCACATGTTGCAATGGTAGTGTCCCTAACTCTGTGCCAGAAGACCCAATTTCAAGTCCCAGCTATTTAAGAGGTGTGTTATAGCATGTCTGAACAGGCCGATTAAATATATCTACTTTGGTACATTAACTCTCAAGCAGAAACGAATGATGAGGTACTCTAGATATACACGGTTATCTATGCATGACAATATTGTTGTTAAATCTTTTTGGAATAACAATGTAACATCCCACTTTGTTAAAAGTATGTAATGCCACGTTATATCAATATAACCTTTCAATAATTAACTTTTAAAATTAAACAATTGGTTAAACTTAAAACATTTTTATAGCTTGTTTTCTTATCTCAAACAATATTATTCATGGGATCACTCAGGCAGTAAAATATTGTGCCTTCATCTCATTGATTTGGTAGTCATTGCTTACAGATGAGCAGGCACGCTGTTTTTGGCAACGTTGTGGAAGTCATTCCTACTGTTGTAGATGTTGTACTTAATGTTGCACCATTTGTTAGTTATGTCGTTGATGTCGGCTCACATATTGGTAATGCTGTTGATGTTGATTCACTTATTAGTGATGCTGTTGATATCTAAATTATTGTTGACATTGGTGGAAATAGGTTTGGGATAGCTGGATCTATGTTTCATGGACAAAATGAGCTCAAAGTAAGAGCAGGAGTTGGGATAGAATCCGGAGAAAGATATGATTCCAAAGTTCCAAAACAAGAGAACATTACGGGAGGTTTAGGATATGAATTGTATCAACAAAGGTTTCTAATAAAGATTAAAAATGAAACAAGAGATAACACAGTGTGGAGCTGGAGGAACACAGCAGGCTCGGCAGCATCAGAGGAGCAGGAAAGTTGACGTTGCAGGTCGGGACCCTTCTTCAGAGTGAGTTAAAAATGAAACAATACGTTTTCTCTAAAAATGGCAATCATATTTGAGTTACAATAATTTGGAGTGCACTGTATGAGAGTATCACTGAGGTAGATTCAATGACAACTTTCAAAAGAGAACTCTATATATCTACATATGTTGGGGAGGCTCACAGCCAGAGGCGCCACAAGATGGCTGCCCATGGATTTTTAGCTGGCATAAATATGGCAAACATTTTTAGCTGCAGTAACAGAATTAGTCTGCTGAGTTCAGAATTAAAGTGAGATCAGAAATTTGAATAATGGTAGCTTTGGCAAGAATATAAATCCAAGGTAACAGGGTCTAAGCGGAACAAAAAATCTTACAAATTAATGTACAGGGAGTTCTGTACAAACCACAGCTGCAGATGTCTGGAAGATACAGTCTGATAAGAGACTTCTGGGAACAGACAGCCTGAAGTTTGTAGTTTAGCAAGAATTAAAAGAAAAGTGTGATCCTGCAATAACAGAAACAAATGGTAAGGTAAAAGGAGAATGAGATTATGTCTTGTAAAACAGTTCAGAAAAGTTCACTAAGCTGTGACAGTGATTGAGTTTCAGTCTTATTAATGGAATAAATGTTGTCTTGTTAAGTAAAAGAATTAGTGCAGAAACATTTAGAGTACAGTCAGTAAATGCAGTTGTTGTCTTACTCATTGAGCTGATAAGTTTGTTCACAAATTTTTCGTCACCCTGCTAGGTAACATCATCAAGTGCGCCTCTGGTGAAGTGTCGGTGTTCTGTCCCACTTGCTATTCGGAAGTGATGCCACCCACCCCAACAAACCAAGACACAAATAGCAAGGGGGACAGAACACTGACGCTTCACCGGAGGGGTACTGTTGATGTTACCTAGCATTTTGACAAAATGTTTGCAAACAAACTTACCAGCTCGGGAGCAAATCAACAACTGCATCAACAACTTGAGCTACAAACCTTCTCAAAAACCTTGAGAGTCAGTAAATGTCATTATAGAAGACAGCAGGTCACTAGAATGAATTATAGTTGCAAGACAGAGGGACAATGTTCACCTGATCTTCCAAGGCCAGCAAGTTGTGAGCGGGTTCTGTCTGACCTTCTGAGATCAGGTGGGACAGAAGCTGCTCACAACTCGTTGGCTAAAGAATTCTAACATTAGGTGTAACCCATAAACTTTATATATAACTAACTCTACATTAGAACTGACATTATGTATTTTATAGCAATTTTATAAGAACTAGCATGTTTCTGTAATTCCTGTGATTAGGATAGTAGGAACTATAAGATCAGTAAAAAAATTTAATAAGAAGGATATGGGCCAGAAGCAGGCAGATGAGACTAGTTTAGTTTGGGTTTATGTTTGGCATGGACTGGTTGGACCGAAGGGTCTGTTTTCATGCTGTATGACTCAATGACTCTATAATAGCAATGAATACAATGAATAACAGAATTCAAACAATCCTTCGAGATAAGCAAGTCTGGCAAATGTCTGTGAAAGAGCAGAATCATCAACATGGAATGCAAAAGTATTCCAAAAAGATCCCAGGCCTGATGATAGTGATGTCAGGTAAACATCATGAGATCATGGGAACTTAGGGCTGTCCTGACTGATCGGGTGTTTTACAGAATTGGACATATCGATTAGGGGGATGAAACAATGACATCAATGTTGCATGTAATTATTGGTCACAAAATGTATGAAAATACAGTATTCAGCTGGGGAAGCCAGAATGTCATTGACCTCTCCTCCGATCTGAGCCGTATTTAAGAGGGCAACTTGGCCCCACGTGAAAGCCAGATTTGGAGTAGTCTCTGGCCACTCCTACACATGGGGTAAAAGAGCTCTGAATAAAGGTCGCTTGTACTGCTGGAAATAGAACTGGAGATCCCTCTTTGACATCGCTCCCAAACAATATGCATCTGCATGTATAATATATTGAAAAGGAAAAATTTGCAGAACAATGGGAAATGAGCAGGATGAGATATGACTATTGGATTGCTCTATTGAAAAGCCAGACACAATGAGCTAAATTACCTCCTTTTATTTGTATGATTTCATTACATTCCATACGCCCAACGGGCTGCTACAACAAACAGTGCATTAGTAAATGCACCTATGCAGTCCAGAACAAGTGATTATGATGATTAATATCATTTACTATTGTCTACAATTGGTCCAGAATTTTCTGACCATTTGTGCCTGCGCAGTCATAGGACCTATCTTACAATGTAAATTGCCAATAAATTATGGCACAAGAACTTTCTCCTATTTATACCTATTATGTATGTATATTTTGCATCTGAATCTCTCCTCACCACCATTAGAACTCCCTTTGTCTTTTCCTCTGGCAACCTCACCATCTGTTCCACTCACTCATCCTCCGTCTTTGTCAACAGCATAAAAACCATCATTTTTCAGGCCCCTTAAAAAAAAAGTAAAAGAAACCGTGAAACATTGTCCCTGATGCTGCCAGTCTTGCTGAGTTTTCTCCAGCATTTTATGTTTTTATTTCAGATTTTCACATAATTTTGCTTTTATCCAAAGACTTACTAACTACTGTCTAAGTAAACAGAGTTTCCCTGTTTGTCAGTTTCTCGGTCCTCCTTTACTAAATTTTAAAATGGTCCTAATCATCACGCTTATTATTTTTTGCCAACTTTAAATTCCTCACCTGATCTAGCACAACTGTTTAAAAACCAAAAGAACTACAGATGCTGAAAATCAGAAACAAAAATAAAAAGGGTCACTGTACCCGAAATGTTAACTCTGATTTCTCTCACAGATACTGCCAGACCTGCTCAGCTTTTCCAGCAATTTCTGTTTTTGTAGCATAACCATTAACTATATTTCTTAGCCATAGTTGACTCATTTTCCCTGCTAGATTTTTGTGCCACATAACAATGTTTCTTGCAAACCATATATTTATTCTTTAAATATTATCTATTATCTGTGTACAGTATTCCAATTTTCCCAATTCACCACAACCAATCTATCTCTCATACCCTACAGTATTTTTTTCTGTATAGGTTTAAGATTCAAGTTTTGGGTTGAATTACATAATTTTCTTTATGGAAAATTCCACTTTATGGTAACTCTTCTCAGAAGGGACTTCTTTTAACAAAAGATTATTGTTTAGCATAATATGTAACATATTGTAAACATTTAGAGATTTGTCCTGCACAACATAGATGTTCATTCGTTTTACCCAGTCTTTGTAATCTATACTCCTCAGATGAATGTAGTTTGAGCCAAGTTTATAACAACAACAAATGGCTCATCTGTACAGGTGGAGGTGAAAGAAGAGTGGAAAGGCAATAGTGGTAACTGATTCAACAGGGGAACAGTTTTTGTGGCTGTAGATATAACTCCATATGCCTCCCTGGGTCAAAGATGTCATAAAGTGGCTGCAGAACAATCTATTCACAAAGGGTGAACAAAGCGATAGCTCTGTTAGCTACATTATTTTATCAGTACAGCTTCAGAAACAGCAGAATTTGGGGTTCTCTCTTCAATTCCAATATACACTGAAGATCTCAAAAAAAATGATATCATGCAATTAAAAAAGTCCTTCTTGTTTAGCATATTGCTTTCACAAACTGATAAAATCCAGTAGAATATATCCCCTAGGAGACATTGCTGGATTTATGCTAGGGAGTGAGATAGACCAATTCTCTATGTGAGTACACTTGACTGTGTTTATCGTGTCATAATGACTATTAACAGGGAAGAGAAAAGTAGAAATAAAACTCTAAAGTACAGGTTATTTTACTGGTAGAGCGCTAATTGCATTGATATGAAATCTAGCTAGGGTAAAATGGAACTAAAGTTTGACAGCAAAAATTGTAACTGAACAATGTGTAATCTGTAAAAAAGAGGGTTTTCAAGTACAGGCCAGATACGTTGAATCCCTACAGTGTGGATGCAGCCTATCAAGTCTACACCAACCCTCCGAAGAGCATTCCACCAGACCTACACCCACCTGCTATCCCTGTAACCCTGAATTTCCCATGGCTAATTTTACCTAGCCTGCACATTCCTGGGCACTGTGGAAGGAAACTGTGGAAAAGACACGGGGAGGACGTGCAAACTCCACACAGACAGACAGTCACCAGAAAGTGGAGTCGAATCTGGGTCTCTGGCACTGTGAGGCAGCAATGCTAATCACAGAGCCACCGTGCCACCCCAAACATTCCAACAAGAAGGAAAGGAACAAGAGTGAATACTGGAAGAAGGATGTAAGGGCACTTCTAGTAACTGAATGCTACTTAGTTCAACATCAATGGTGAGTAGAATTTTAGAAACAATAATCATGGAAAATATCAACAGGCATGTGGGAAATGTTTGAGTTTTCTTAGGAGAGCCAGCCTAAATTTGTAGAAGGCAAATTTTGTTTGACTAATCTAATCAAATTACTTGATGAAGCAGCAGTTGAACAGGTTGACAAAGGAAATGCAGTGGATTTTGTCAAACACGTTTTTACATTCCAAAGTGACAAAGTGCCCCATAAAAGACTGATAAACAAATCTGAAACCCATGGAAAGGGATGATCAGTGCCAGCTTATATGAAAATTGGTTTAATGACAGAAAACAATGATAGACGGTAAATAATTATTTATCAGGCTGTAGGATTGTGCAGGGATCGTTCCCTCTGCAACATCTTGGTCCGTTCCTCCAACACTTCCTCATTCCAATGGAATATCCCAATGGTCAATGGTAGGACCACTGCATTTGTTGGTATAAATAAATGAATTTGATATTGGAATACAAAACAAAATTTCAAAAACTGTCAATGATACCAAGCCTGAATGTGTGGCAAACAATGAGGTTAACAGCAATTAACTGCAACAGGTCATACATTGGCTTATTGAGCAGGCAGACAAGTACCAGATAGAATTTAAAATAAACTAGTGTGAGATGGTGCAATTTGGCAAAATTGATAGGGAAAGGCAATATTCAAAGGGTCCCCAATCTATAAACATTTGACTTACAAACACCCATACTTACAAACACAATCCCATACAGGGCTGCAATTTTTAAAAGATCAGACATAGAAACATTTCCTGTGCTTACAAACAGCTGCATTACACTGTCCTGCATGGAATACTAACTTGCGAATGGACTCCAGAACAAAAGCTGTTCACAACCCAGGTACTGCCTGTATATTAATGGAACAGTTCTGAAGAGTGTATAAGGTCAGATATTCCTGAGTGTTCATGTGCATGGTATTTTGAGGGTGGCAAATATATTGGACCTTCGACTTCAGAAAGGTATGAGTATAAAAGCAGCAAAGTTATGCTGAACCTTTATAAAGCTCTGGACAAGCCTGAACTAAAGTATCACATTCAATCTGGTCTCTACAGTCTAGAAAGAATGAAGGAGATTTACTAGAATTGTTTGAGGAATAATGGAATTTGGCAGCTAGGCTAGGTTGGAGAAGGTGTGAGTATTCTCCTTGGAGGTGAGGAGGTGGAGGGACATCATGTAGAGGTGTATAAGATTATAGCAGCTTTAGATAAGATAGACAAAGAAAAGCTGTTTTGATTAGCTAATGGTACAAAGTCTAGGGGTCACAAATTTGAGGTTTTGGGCAAGAGATACAGTGGGGATGTGAGAAAGATCTGTTGTTACACAGCGTGGTAATCCCCTGGATTTGAATGCCTTTAAGAAGGATGGAAATAGAGAAGATCAATGATTTTAAAAAGAAATTGGATAAAAATTTAAGAGATCACATGTCTCTTTCTAATAAAGTACAAGTTTGCAAATTTATTTCCTACTGATTTACCAAAGTTCAAACTTGATCTACCTCTCAATGGAAATGATTGTATTGCAGCCAATCAAGACAAGAATGAGCATAATTCAGTTGGCATCATCTATCTTCAAATCCGAGCCCAGTGCCAAACTGCCCAAGTAGCCAATTAAAAACTCATACAAGTCATGAAAAGGATCAAGCAACTCCTCTAATTTTCTAAGAACATTGACTTGTACCAGAAGGTAGCCCAAAATCATTCAAGACATTGCTTCTGTGACGATGATGCAGCTTTTAAGAGGTTAATTTATCCTGATTTTTTGAACTGAGGTTGTAAGGAAGGGGTGTAGAGCAGTCTGGGGTAATGTAAGCAGCTTGGGAGGCCTTGGGTTTTTGTTGAACAGCCTGAATGTGATTTTTGGATTTTGGTTTTTCAGTAGCATCAGAAGCTATTGGGATCCCAGTGGAACTGGAACCTTCAGTGAATGTCTGCTGGCTGCTACTCTCGCTGAATTTTCTCTTGATGTTTTTTCCTCCAGGATTGGAGAACTGCATGTGTCTGAATTTTCCTTTTTTACCAAGGGGATGTTACTATATTGGAACAGTTAATTAGTAATAGGTACAGTATCTATTATTCTGTTAAGTTTTCCAGTAGAGTTAAGTTGTTCTAAACACTTCTTCCATTGGTTATATTTTAACTACAGTGTTTAAATAAATTTTGCTTAACATCGAGTAGTATGAATAGTCGCATTGCATCTGGAACAGGCACTTTACAATTGCCTTTATAACTAAGAAAACGTTAGGGTCTAGGCTGCCTTCTTAAAATATTTTGACAGCATCTGGTCTGTTCCATAACTCTTCCCATTCATCATCTAGTCAGATATGATCTTGCCACCAGCATAATTGTCACTGCGCCCACTCACACAATTAGCCCAATGCGACCCATCGCATATAAAAGCTTCTTAACAAATACACCACAGGTATCTGCATGTTACATTAGCAATCACATATTAACATACAAATTTGGAATACAACAAGGAAAGCTAAACACTGAAAAATGTATATATTGATATGATATATTTTGAACAGAAATGCAAATTATGAATTTTGCTTTACCTAGATTGTAAATTTGAAATCAAAATTTTAATTAGGAGATCTAATGCTTTAATTCAGTATCCTTATAAGATCAGGTATACAATCAGAGCATTGCTTGCACATGTAAAATATTACAGAAATTCACGTCCTAGCCTTTTGACGTATGGATGAAATTGTATGATATATGTGGAAGTATCTTCATAGAGTCACAGAATCATACAGCACGGAAATAGACTCTTCGATCCTACTCATCCGTGCCAACCAGACATCCCAACCTGACCTAGACCCATTTGCCAGCATTTGGGCCATGTCCCTCTAAACCTTTCCTATTCACATACCCATCCAGATGTCTTTTAAATCTTGTCATTGTACCAGCCTCCACTTTCTTCATGAAAGTTGGAAAAAAACTAAAAGATTAATGAGATAACTATTAATACGAAGCATAAATTTTCATGTATGTAAAAACAGTGGATACATGTGATCAGTTGTTGGCCTTTTTTCTTTGCTGTTGTCTATTGCATCTGTTATTTGCACTGCTTAATGGCCTTTGGCTCAATTTTCCTGTGACATGGATTCCAAGCAGCACACATCAAAATCCTTTGGCAGTGTAGCAAAAATTTTTGTACCAATCATCTTTTTGAATGGGCTATTAGTGCTGAATCTTCCTGTATTATTAATTTATTAATGTCCTTTATCATATCCTTTTGCAAAACTTACTGAAAGACTTTGATGGTGACCTTGTAAATACAAAAACATTGTCATTAAATGGTCCCAGAAATACAGAATGGCACAAAACCCAAATCGCAATAATAAAGTTTGATAGTGATAAGGTTTTGATAGTGATAGTTCTATGTATCTATTTTAAAAGACAGAGGCTGAATCCGGACTGCACTGCAGCATTACCTATCTGCAGGTTTACTATTGTCAAATCTCATCTCTTGCCTTTGTCAAATCCAGGTTAAATGGCTTGCCTTTTCTCAAAGGAAAAGAATTCTGTTTTATTTACATTTTCTCCCTAATTTGATTGCTTATTATCTGATGCCTTCTGGAAATTCTTTGCATTACCTCCATTGCTTGGTATTCAAGCTGCAGCATAATTAGAATAATGAACACCTCTAACATGGCTTCATTTAACACAATCAGCTGATAGAACAATATAATTTAATAACCTTTTCAATTTATTTACTGAACTTCATTTATTTACTCTTGAAATTTAATCTGGGCTCATTTTCCGAATTTATTTTCATTTTATCCTCTTGTTATCATGTTTCCTCTTACACTTTCTTATATACCCGAATATTCACCACTTCTAATGTTTATCCTTAATATGTACTTACTTTTACCTTTATCCACAGCTTAACAATGTGTCAAACCATGTCTCATAAGTACTTCTTGTTTTGTATCTTTCACTCTTTTCTTTAAATCTGCTCCCAAAACTGACCCCAAATGGCTAATGCTTTGTGCACACTTTTATTTGGCATTTTGTCAAATGTTTTTGAAGTCTACACACTGGCTGGAATTCAATGCCCTCTCCAAGACAGATTTGTCAAGTGGGTGCATTTAATTGGGTGGGAAGGTTGCTAGTTGAGACCCTTGTATTTTCCCATCTCTGCTCCAATTTAATTTTGAGGTGGGAAGGCCCCATCACTAATTGAGGCTCTTAAGGCAATTGAAGTCCTCATCCCAAGACATTCACTCAGCAGCTGACTGGGGGGTACCCAGCACTGGGAAATGGAAGCCACTGCCCAGTTAAGGAGTGGTAGGTATTTCCAAAAGACCTCTCCAGCCAACAGGCAAGATCTTCATTGCCTAAATTCTACCCACCATACCTACTTAGAATGTCCTCTCAAAAGCATCTAGGATGTTGGTCATGCAGGATTTTTATTTTCTGAACTTGTAATCAATCTGTGATGAATTTCAAAATGGGAAAGGTTGGAGAAACAAATGCAGAGCTTTCTGGATGACAAAGGAGATAGAAGTTAAGATAAAGAAGAAGTGTGCTTATGATATGTGTCAAATAGAAAATACAACTGAGAACTAAGAGGAAGGTTCAGAGAGAACATGAAAAAGCAAATAAGAGAAACGGAGAGGAATTATGAGCAAAATCTGACAGCTATCATAAAGGAGTGAACCAAAGGATGCCTTCTAAGGCCATATAAATAGTCAAAATGCCCAGCAAATGGAGGAGTAGGGCTGCTGAGTGGCCAAAATGGGTATATACACCTAGAGATAAGGGCCATGGCTGAGATGTTAAGTGAATATTTTGCATCTGTCTTTACCAAAGAGGGAGATGCTACACAGGCCATGGCGACAGGGGAAGAAAATCTATCACTAGAAGGATTCAAACTGAAGAGGAAGAGGTGTTGGATAGACTGTTAGTATTCAAAGTTGACATAGCATCAGAGCCAGATAAGACATATTCCAGAATTTTGAAAGGAGAGACAGTAGAAATTGCAAGGCACTCCATAATCTTTCAATCTTCTCTAGACTTGGTGGAGGTGCCAGAAGCCTGAAAAATTGCAGAAACTTCAGGTTTCTTCAAGAAATTTATAAAGATAAGCCCAGCAGTTATAGATCATGGAATAAAAGGGACAGTAGTAATGAGGATGCCAAATTGGCTGAGCATAGGAAACAGAGTGTGCTGGTCAATCTCTTTTTGGGTTGGGAGAAGGTTTATAGTGGAGTTCCCCAGTGTCAGTATTGGGAGCCTTGTTTTTCCTGACACATAATAACGATCCAGATCTTGGTGTAAGGGACAATTTCAAAGTTTGTAGATGACAAGAAACGTAGAATTGCAAAGTATGAGGGGGGCCATGTAAACCTCCAAGAAGACACAGACAAGTTGGTGGAGTGAGTGGATAGGTGGCAGATGCATTTCAATGTAGAGAAGTGATAGGTGATACACTTTGGTAGAAAGAACATCGAAAGGCAATGTGAAATAGGGGTACTATTCCAACTGAGGTGCAGGAGCAGAGGGCTCTCAGTGTATATGCCCACAGACGATTTAAGGCAGCAGGACAGAGAGAGAAGCAAAGCATACAATTTTCTGTACTTTATTAATAGGGGCATAGAGTACAAGAGCAAGGAGGTGATATTGAACTTGTATAAGACACTTGTTAGACCTCAACTGGAATATTATCTACAATTCTCGATGGCACATATAGAAAAGATGTAAACATGTTGGAGAGAATGTAGAGGCAATTTATAAGAACAGTTCCAGAGATGAGAAAATGCAGTTATGAGGATAGATTGAAGAAGTTGCAATTGTTCTGCTTGAAGAGAAGGAGGGAAAGAGGAGATCTGATGGAGGTTTTCAAAATCATGAGCAGGCCGTAACAATTAGATAGTCTGAAACTCTTTCAACGTGTAAAAGAAGAGGATATGAGTTTAAAGTGATTTGCAAAAGAAGGAAGGATGCTGCAGGAAAAATCTTTGTCACTCAGCATATAGTTAAGGCTTTAAGCACACTGCCTGGAAATGTGTTGGGCAAGGTTCAACTGACGCATTCAAGCGGGCATTGGATCATTGTTTTTATCCAAACAACGTGTAAGGGTGTGGAGAAAAAGCAGGAGATTGGCACTAGGCCATGATACTCAAAGAGCGGGTGCAGGCACAATTGCTGAATGGCCTCTTTCTATGAATGATGAACATGTTTTGAGAAAGCATTGCTGAACTCAAAATATTAACTCTGCTTTTTCTGCACAAATGCTACCAGACCGGCTGAGTTCTTCCAGTAATTTCTGTTTTTGTACCATTGTGCTATTAAGGTACAGATAAATTTCCTGATAATGATTTTCATTCTTTTACATTCATTAATCTGAGTAATGGGCCTGCAGTTAACCAGCAACCATTTTATGAGCTTTTTGAAAAGGAGTCCATTAGCTTCTTTCCAATCGAATGAAATGCTCCTCATTGACACCATTATGACAAGCCTCACAAAAGCTGGAATTTAGTTTTTCCTCTCCAGATTTACGTTTGGCCATCCTCCCCCTCAGCAATTCACACCAGTTTCTACCTGGAAAATATATAGACGTCATTATTTCTCTTTAATTCAATTCTGATTGATCTGAGTTACACTAATGTACACTAAATTTTACGATTCTGAGGAAAACTTCCATGATCTCTGGGAAGCACACACTTCTGAAGGTGAAACAATCTGCTGACAGTTGCTGGTAGGATATGAAAAGGAGCCTGTCCAAGGTGTTTCCCCCAGTCAACAGTTCGATTTTGTACATGGAGTCTGATGAACATGAGGGCACAGAAGCCAAGAACACTAGACTTTTGAAATGTGCTGCAGTCAGGAGGTCACAGTGACCCACAACAAACTGCAGGAGGACACGGAGAAGGATCCAGTTGTACTCCATACCTGAACAAACACCACAGGAAAGATCAGGAATAAAGTCTTGCTAAGGTGACAGTTAAGCGTTAGCAGCTAAATTGAAAAGCACAGCTGTTTGGCTAATAAATACAGGATTGTTATCTGACCAACATGAAAACTGGGATAGGGACAAACAGATTGGCAAAATCAACAAGTGGTTAAGGGAATACTTGGCAAAAGGGGTTTCTATTTCATGGGAAACAGCAAGGATCATCCAACAACACAGTAAGCACAGCTCCTAAATTCTGGAAAGGTCTCAGCTGAATGAAAGTTCACAAATGTGCTTTTTAAACACTGCTTTTTAAAAAAGGAAGGAGTGAGAAAACAGGAAGCTACAACAGTTAGCTTGCTATCAGTCATCCAGAGCACTGGAATCAGTTATTGAGGAAATCTTAACAATGCACTTTTAAAAACTTTATATGATTTGATCAAGCAACATGCTTTTATGAAAGGGAAATACTGTATGACAAACTTTTTAGAGTTTTTTTCATAGATTTAACTTGCAGGATAGATAAAGGGAACTAATAGATATAGTGTACTTGGATTTCCAAAAGGCAATCAATAAAATGCTACACGAAAGCTTAATACAAAAGATAAGGGTTTGTGTAGTTGGGGGTGAGAACATGTAATATATATATAACATATTTGTAAATGAGGCATTTTCAAATTGGCAGGCTATGATATTGGACTGGTGTAATGATCCATGCTGGGATCTCAGCTATTTAAAATCTATATTATTGTCTTAGATGAAGAGACAGGGAATAATCTATGAGTTTGCTGACAATAAGAAACTAAGCAGGAATGTGAAGAGGTCACAAAGAGGCTGCAAATATACATATAAATATATAAGTGAATGGACAACAGAGTAATACAGAGAAGTGAGTTTATTTGCTTCAGTCAATAGTATACAAAACCTTACTAATGCTGATATGCAAAGAGATTTGGGTGTATCCATACAAGAATTACAAATAGTTAACATTAAAAACAGAAAGTACTGGAGAAACATAGCAACATGACAAGATAGAATTAATATTTCAAGTCCAATATGATTTCTTCGGAACTCTTTATTCCAGCATCCTTAGTATTTTGCGTTTATTTACAAATTGTTAGCACAGAGGTACAACAAGCAATTTGGAAAGCAAATAGCATTTCTCCTTTCAATGGGTTGTGAATCTTTGGAATTTTTTAGAATAGATGCTTTTAGATGTGCCATCAACAAAATAGTTAAGGCCAAGCTAGGTTTTAGGTCTCTCAGGCAATCATGGGATATTGCAAACACAGGATTTGTGGAGTTGAAGCCCAAGACCATATTAAATGATGCAGTAGACTTGACATGTGATTATATAGTCTTCTCCTACTCGTATTCCTTAGTGGAGAACACTCCATCATGCTTCTGACTTTGCCTTATGGATGGTGGAAAGTCATTGGAGTCAGGAAGTGAGTTAATCACCACAGAATTTCCTACCTTTGATCTCTAAGTCTAGCCAAATACAGCTTTTCTAACTAAGCCTCTCATCAATGGTGACCCCAGTGAGCTGGGGGAATTCATTGATGATAGATTCATTGGTGGCATGGCCACTGAAAATCAAAAACAGATGGTTAAATTCTATTGTGTTGGAAGCAGGGGTATGGTGGAGTTAAATCAGATTGAAGCATTAAAAGACTGTTACCTGCAAAGGAGAAATGAGCAGAATTGCATGGAAGAGGCCAAAGAATGCACGTCAGAGAGCCAGTGCAAACAAGGTAGGCTGAGTGGCCTCCTTCTGCACTGAAACAATTCTGTGATTGCCTGTAGCTTGCATGGCATGAATGTTCCTGCCAATTTTCAGCCCAAGCCCTGGTGTTATTCAATCTTCCTGCATGTAAGCATGGGCTTATTTTTATTCATTCATGTGATATGGGTGTCACTGGCTGTGTCACCATTTATGGACCATCCCTAGTTGCTCTTGAGAAGGAGGTGCTGTGCTAACTCCTTGAACAATTCTGTTCATCTGGTACATTTAGATCATTAGTGCTGTTAGGGATGGAGTTCCATGATTTTGATCCAGCAACAGTGATA